TTTCTGGCATTTGTTTTGTCGGCTTTCTTCAATATTGATATATCACTCTTTTTTTTAGTCATCTGACCTGTGCTCTTTTTTTACAAAATATTAGAGTTGTGTAATAGGCGTAAATATGGGTGTGCCAAACCTCTGGATGTCTTTTATTATGGCTAAATTATGGAGTAGGGGAGACTGGTGTCAATTGTAACAGGTGTCGTTTGTAACAATAGTGATATTTGCGCCATCTTTTGAAATAAATCAAAACGCACTAATATGCATAAACGGATATCTACCTCACACCACCGACTATAGTTTCAGAGTTAGCCGTAACCTATTGCACAAGTTCCAGGCACATGTTTGAGGAGCGCCTAAAAGGAGGACTACGCAAATTGTGCCGTGACGTCACACTTGACAGATATTGAGTGACGTCACCAATTATGTTTATAATAAGATCGTCGCTATAATAAAATAAGGTAAGTTTCTTCACCTCCGATTAAGTATTTATCTGGCAGATGAAAATGGTAGCCTTTCAGTCCCGAGTAAACTTACCGACAGATAAAATGTCAAATATTTATTTGCCAAATAAACTCAGCCCACAATTCTGTAACACGGTTTTGTTTCTCCAATAAATAAGCACGTAAGTCTTTATTAAAATTGAAAAACATGTTACATCCACTGCAGCCATATCTTCTAGAACTTTCATATTCTATATAATTTGCATACTTTTTATGCAAGTTTCTATTGTGCCGATGAAGACTTGACTGGGTCTGGGACACCTTATTACACTCAAGACAAATCACTCACATTTTCTTTTATTTTTGAAGAAAGAAATCTACAAATAAAATACCAACGAATTGACCGTCAAAAAATAATTATATTATATTATTTATCTACGAAATAATTCCTTAGGTTATACGGTAATATACCAAAAATCACGTTAAGTTTAGAAACTGATTGATGACGTCACGGCACGATCTGCGAAGTCCTCCTTTTAGGCGCTCCTCATGTTTGTATTTCATCCTAAAAGTACATTGTCCCAAATTGTTGATTTTGCCGTCCAAAACTCAACTTGAAAATATTTTAAAGTAAGGCCAATCTTTTTTAACATCTTTAATTTTGTTTACTGTAGCTCACCTTACGAAGGGCATAATGTATACAAAAATCATCTTTCTTATTTATAGGTTAACTTGGTGTCGATTGTAACACACACTGCGGTGTCGTTTGTAACATGTTACAATTATTGACACCTATTATATTCTTTTTTAATCTATCTATCTATCTAATTAGCCTTCTTCGGTCCATCTTTGGACATAGGCCTCCCCAATCCTTTTCCATTCTTCTCTGTCTGTCGCTACAGTCATCCATCTAGAGCCCACGTGCTTCTTGATATCATCTGCCCATCTCATTTGGGGCCTTCCTCTGCTTCGTTTATATTCCCACGGTCTCCAACTTATAAGAATTTTGTTCCATCGGTCTTCTTTTTGTCTTATCTTGCGTCCGGCAAATCTCCATTTCAATTTTGCAGCTTCTTGTCTAACATCCCTCACTTTTGTTTTCTCTCTTATCCACTCGTTTCTCTTCTTATCCATTAGTCTTATGTGCAGCATTTGTCTTTCCATTGCTCTTTGGGTTTTTATGATTTTGTCCATGTTTGCTTTTGTAGATGTCCACGTTTGGGAACCATAAGTAAGAACAGGGAGTACGCATTGATTATATACTTTGGTCTTAAGATGCTATGGATATCTTTTGTTTTTAAGAATGTAGCTTAGTTTGCCAAATGTCGCCCATGCCAGTCTAACTCGTCTCTTGATCAATGCTGTTTGGTTCTCTTTGTTAAGTTTTATAGTTTGACCAAGATATATATAATCCTTGTCAATGTATCAAACAATAACTTGTTCTATTTCATCTTGTCCGATTCTCATTGTGATGTCTTCATCTGTATTTGTTATAGTTTTGGTCTTGCTGTAATTCATATTAAGGCCTATCTTTCCAGCTTCTACTTCTATTCTTTTTTAATAGAGTTCTTTATATTCTAGATCGACGAAAGTTGGTGAAGCCACGGCCAAGAAAAACGGAAAGGGGGTTAACGCCAAAAGTTATTTATGACGAAGCAGCTAGGAAAATAATAGATACTAAACAATCTATTAGAAAAGTGGCTAAAGATTATGATATGTGTCACGTTTCTTTATATCGCTATGTTAAATCGTTACGTGAAAACTCACAACCTCGGGTAGGATACAATCCTCACAACAGAGTGTTTAATGATGAAATGGAGTTACAGCTTGATAAATACTGCGAAACTACCGTAGGCACAAAAAGAGACAAGCAACAATATTAAAAAAATGATAATAACGAAATAATTATGGGTATAGAAGACAAAATTGCCTTCTCGTTCAAATGGTGCTGTTTTTACCTGATTTGTTAGATAATGTGCCTTGAAATATTCGGCAAAACTTATAGTTTCTACATGACGGTTGTCCAGCTTACTGTAGCAGAAATGTACGAGACTTTGTTGATAATATCTTCTAAGACCACTGGATTGGAAGAGACCGTCCAGTTGCTTGGCCAGCAAGGTCGCCGGATTTGAATACTTGCGATTATTGTGTTTGGGGATATATAAAAGCATTTTTTTATTTCATTTCGATACAAAATCTTGCACAACTCTAGCTAAGGATGAAAGATGCTTACAACGAAATTAGAAATAACTTTGGAATTTTTGCAAGAATTCGGCATTCTCTAAGCAAAAGGGCGAATTTATGCATAAAAACTAATGGTCACCACATCGAACATATTTTGTAATTATCTACATTTGATACTTGTTATTTTGTGTGAGTTTCGTTCCATCGTAGTAAATACTTTTTTTTTATTTTTTAAATTAAATTTTAATTGGGAGCACTTCGCGAAGAGGGCAGACCCCAAAGTAACTTTTTTTTCATCTCCGAAAATTAGCTGTCATTTTCTTAATTTTTAATATTTCAGTACCAAAATTTCAGATAATACTCTTGAAATGTTGTACTATAATGTACTAATGTCATAAAATAAATTTATATTTAACAATTTTTCAAAAAAAAAAAATTTTTAAAATGTTTAAAATATTGCAAATAAACCTCCCCCCCCCTCACCCTTAAGAAACGCAACCCTACAGGATTTAATAGAATATAAATAGCGGATATTGATTTTTTGGACCACACATTTTAAACATGCAAACTCTAATAGTCTAGTTGAAAAATAAAGAAAGCCATGCTGAATTAACATTTATTCTTTAATTATTTTCCCTATTTTTCATGTTCCTCTCTTCTTTGCCACTTCTATAATTTTTATTTTATATTTTTCTTGTTACATGTGTCCCTTATCTTCTGTTCTTCTTTTAATTTTCTTCAGTATATTTTCTATTTGTTTCTCTAGCTTTCAGTTCTTTGCCGTTAATGAATGCAGCGATTTGCTGTAAATAAATAAATCTATTTAACTAGCAAATCTATTTGCATCCTTCCCGTATACAAAAAAAACGAAAACGGTAATTTCCTTAACGATATTGGTTCTATTTATTTTCTTGTATCTTTAATTGTTGAATTTTTATATTATATAAAATCTGAATTTCTTTAACCACGTATTAAGAAACAGCCCCAATACCATAGCCCTTTAAAAGATATATTTTTTGTTGAACAGCTTCCAGACACCCTGGAAGAACTACGTCATGGTTGCAAGAAGATGAAAAATAGGAGAATTTTGATCATAAATTCGTTCATACTGCCTTGCTTAAAGTATGTATAGAAGCATTACAGCATTTTTCAATACAAAACGTTAAAAAAAGTATATACAATAAAGTTTTTTTCATGATTGTTTTATGATTTAATTTTATGCAGGACAAATTACTGCATATGCAGACGATGTAGCCATCATTAGTAGGAATAAGCCACGACTAATGGAAGTGTTCAAACAAATTGATCCTGAAGCAAGAAAAAGAGGTCTCAAAATAAACGAAGCAAAAACAAAGTATATGACAGTCGAAAGAATAACTGACAATGAAAATAATATCACAATCGACAACTATACTATCGAACGAGTGGATGCCTTTACATATCTCGGCACAGAAATCAATCAGGAGAACTCCGTAAGTAGCGAAATTAATGCACGTATTTCCAACGGGAATCGTACATACTATGCTAATAAAAGATTGATGACATCGAAATTATTAGACAAAAGAACCAAAATGACTATCTACAGACCACTGATTAGACCCGTAGTAACCTATGGATGTGAAACTTGGGTAATGACGAAAAAATATGAAGCCCAACTCAGGACATTCGAGAGAAAAATACTGAGGAAAGAATATGGCCCGGTACAAGAGGAAGATGGCACATGGAGAATCAGGAGAAAGGTTATGACATTATAAGATTTGTGAAAAGTCAAAGACTGTCATGGCTGAGACATGTGCAGCGACAAAACGATGCAAAAACAACAAAGAAAATGTTACAATGGAAACCCATAGGAAGGCGAAAAAAAGAAAGGCCCAGAACGAGATGGTTGGAACATAAGACAATGGAGAAGAAGGGCACAAGAGAGATCTGAATGGAAGGACATAGCCAGACAGGCAAAGACCCATTAAGGGTTATGATGCCAGAAAAGAAGAATGCTTTATTTAGGTAAAATTTATAGTTCTATTTTCATCAAGTTTGTTTCATTAAATTAGTTCTGTTATTTAAGAGTTTTATAATTTAATTTAGCTAAAATTTATAGTTCTATTTTCATCAGTTTTATATATCCCTACAAACTCGACTATTCAAAACATTAGGCACCAGTGCAAGTTACTGGCTAATCTCTGATGTACTTAAAAGTTGTCAGAACAATCGTACACGTCAACTCAAAAAAATTTAGTACAGCAAGAATCGGGAAAGTAAATATCAATTTTTAACCTATTAATCTTTCAGTTTTCATCTAGACCAGTTTTTAGCATATTAAAAAAAGTCGTAATGAGTGATAATACTCGAATACAATGAAAATAAAGAATATTTACTTACAGTGTTTACAAAGAACCGGGGTCAAGAAGAAGACATCGTCAAAGTTGTGTTCAGGCCTACTGTCAACTTCTGCGAAAAAAAAAAAATTGTTACAACAGTGAAACGAATCTCAAGAAACGTCTAAAAGGTATGTATAAAAACACTTAAACAAAAATACAAATCATTTATTTAGTATTTATTAGTCATTCTTTAACGAAGTTAAATATCGATAGCAATTAAAGTAAACTGTATAAAGGTGGATTCAAACACATCAGTGCCGTCATAGTCCCGGCGCCGAACCGGTCCTGTTTGGTCACAGAACTATTAATTATCTGACAGATGGGAAACTGTTCGTCACCTGATGAATATGAATGCATATTTCTATTAAAGAATATTTGGTATGACGGTTCGGCGCCGGGACTGTGACGAGACGTGACTGATGTGTTTGAATCGACCTTAACCAAGATTAATCAAGCCATTTAGGGCGATTCTGAGAATATTTATATTCCACTATGCATCAACAATTTACCCATATAAATTACTCTCATTTTTGTACTCATTGTGTCGAGTAAGGACAATAACAAAATAAATGACAGTTGGATTTCGATTTAGTTTGAGTCTCTTACCATTCTCTTACAAGTGTTCTGGGTCTACCCGTCATCAGAGAGAGTTTGTAAGAACCATCGCTCTAAATGGTTTGAGTCTTCTTACACGTTCTCTGTGATGACGGGTAGACCCAGAAACACGTGTAAGAGACTCAAATTAAATCGAAACCCAACCGTCATTTATTTTGTCATTCTTTAACCTCTATTCGTATGCCTAATGCGATGTTCGGCGCTCTCGTATGATGCATCCTCTCTACATGTCACCTAATCCTTTGAGATCTTATTTAAGCGGTTATTTTCTTCGCCACATTACTTCATCTTTCATCCCTCCAAATAAATGTATGTATTTATTTCCTTTGAGGGGTATGGAAGAAAAATGTGATCATGTCCTTTAATTTTCCCACATATATAGTAAGGGTGTTCATTCGGTAGAGGAGCTGAGCAGCAATCTTGTTTGTCAAATGTGTCTTATCTAAGAATGAAAACTTCTTAAAACATGAGTTTTCCGGGAATGAAGTTTATATTTATTAGTACCATCACCATCATCACTGGCTCGACAACCCTTTTTGGGTCTTGGCCTGTTCAAGGATTCTTCTCCATTCTGACCTGTTTCGTACTTTTTTTTCCAATTTTTAATTTTTAATGTTGTTATATCATTTTCTATTTGTTCTACGTATCTCAGCTTCGGTCTTCCTCTTCTTCTTTTTCCTACTGTCACTTGTTTGAATATTTTGTTTGGTATTTCGCCTTCTTCCATTCTTTCCACATGTCCAATCCAACGTAGCCTTCCTATTTTATTGAATGTTATGATATCCGGATCCTGATATATGTTGTATAGTTCAAAGTTATACGTTCTCCGCCAAATCCCGTTTTCTTTTGTGCCCTTATATATGTGTCGCAAGATTTTTCTTTCAAAGGTGGCTAATAACGTTTCCTCCCTTTTAGAGAGTGTCCAGGTTTCTGAACCGTATGTGAGTACCGGTCTTATTAAGGTTTTGTATATTTGGCATTTTGTATTTCTGAAGACGTTATCTGATCTTAGTTGCCTAATTAAGCCATGGTAACATTTATTGGCAATAAATATTCTCTTCTTCACTTCCTCTGCAACGTTGTTATCAGACGTAACTAGGGATCCTAAGTATGTAAAGTTTTTTACCGCCTCAATGTTGTATTCTCCTATTGTTAAATTTGGCAGCTGCCTTATTTGTGCGTTTTTATTTGCAGGCATATATTTTGTTTTTGTCTGATTGATTTTAAGACCACTATTTTTTGCAGCTCGTTCTATTTGAGTGAATGCCTCTATCATTTCTCTTCTTGATCTTGCGATTATGTCAACATCATCTGCAAATGCTAGTACTTGCACGCTTTTATTAATTATTGTTCCTCGGGTATTAACTGTTGTGTCTCTTATTATTTTTTCAAGTATGATGTTGAATAATATGCATGATAGAGCGTCTCCCTGGCGTAGTCCCTTCTTCACATCTATTGTTTCCGTTAATTCGTTTTGTATCCGGATTTTACTTTCTACTTTTAGTGTTTCTTTTATCAATTCTATTAGCTGTGTTGGTATATTAAATTCTTTCAATGCTTTTGTTAGGAATTCTCGGTTTACATTGTCATATGCGCTTTCGAAATCTATGAAGAGATGATGTGTGTCGATGTTATATTCACTTGTTTTTTCAAGGATCTGTCGCAGAACAAATATCTGGTCTATTGTTGACTTCTGTCTACAAAAGCCACATTGGTATTTGCCAACTATTTTTTCAGCGTATGGTCTAAGTCTTTCATACATTACGTTAGACATTATTTTGTATGCCGCATTCAACAGCGTGATTCCACGGTAGTTTTCACATTCTAACTGGTTTCCTTTTTTATGTAGTGGTACAATAATGCCGCTATTCCACTCCTTTGGTAGCTGTTTATTCAACCATATCTTTCTTATCAGCTCATGTATGGCTTTAAGTAATGCGTCTCCTCCTTCTTTCAGTAGCTCCGATGATATTTGATCCGATCCCGGTGATTTATTGTTCTTTAATTTGTCCACTGCTGTTCTAATCTCTGCTATTGTTGGTGGACTCTTTTCTCTGTTGTCTGCTTGGTCTAATGGTATATCAGGGTTCATCTCCGTCCTATTCACCCCAAGCTTTTCCTGAAAATGTTCTGTCCATCTTCATTTATTAGTACCACTCAGATTTTATTTGAATTAGTGATTTTCAACAAATGTTATGTTCACTTTCAAATTGAGTTTTAAGTATGGGCCAAATTTCTGAGTAGTTTATTTTAATTTCTTATCGGATACTGGGAAATATACCTCATTATTATCTTTTCCTTCATCCCCGATCGGCTTTCCCAATTACATTTTTCCAAAGTTTATATCTTGGGTCATACCAATATCAACATGCCCTGCTTAAGCGTCTCCTCCAGGTCTTCTTTGGACTTCCTTATCGACGTTTGAACATGCCCGGACTATCTTTACCTATGCTCTCTCATTTTGGCATCAATTGGTGCCACTCCTAGACTGGGACATCTACCTACGATTGTAAATTTGCCTACATGACAAGGGGTCCTCCTGCCTAAGTCCTGAATTTATACCAAATGGCATCGATGTTCTGCTTCCTATCTTTACTTGCGCATATGAGTCTGTCACGCGCATTTGCGTTCATTCAACTAATTTTCTTGGTATTCCCATCTCTAACATTGCTATCCACAGTTTGTTTCTATTTATGGAATCATATGCTTGCTGGAAAGCCGCATTGGTAATCGCCTAGAATATCTTCCGAATATGGTGTGAGTCTCTTGAGCAAGATAATTGATAGCACTTTATATGATGTGCTAATAAGCGATATGCCTTTATAGTTTCGGAATTGTTCTTTGTTTCATTTCTTATATATGGGAATTATAACGCTTCCATTCCATTCTCTAGGCATTTTCTGTTGTTGCCATACTCTCAGAATGATGTCATACAATTTTTGGTGTAAAAGGTTTCCTCCTTTTTTTATCAACTCTCCATCTATGCCATCATTTCCTAGTGATTTATGGTCTTTTAGAGAGGCGATAGCATTCTTTACTTCCTCAAGTGTTGGTGCTGGTATTTCGATATCTGCAGAATGAAACGTAAGATCTGCTTCCTCCGTCTCACTTTCAATATTTAGTAAATTCCGAAAGTATTGTTCGACGATTTCCGATTCTATCATTCTAAGTTCACCTGCTTGATTTCTCAGAGGCTGTGTTACTCCAACACTTGCACCTTTTCTGACTGACTTCAGTTCACTAAAAAATTTCCTTATTTGATTCCTCTCGCCACTTCTGTCCATTTTCCGGATTTGCTGTTCTAGGTAGCTCCTCTTTTTAGTTCTGAATAGTCGACTTGTTTGTGCTCTTGTTCTGTTAAAATCTGCTTTGTTCTCATCTGTGGGGTCTTGTAGCATTTTCAATCTTTTTTTCGTTTTTATTTCCAGAATTTCCTCGCATGCTTTGTGAAACCATTTCCGTTTTGGGTGAGTCCTCTTTCTTCCAATGGTTTCCTTGGCTGCTTGTTCTATAACTGATGTCACTTGCTGTCATGCTTGTCCTAACTCTTCCTCTCCCAGCAATTGGAATCTGTTGCTTATTGCCACTTGATAACCCAGTTCTTTATTTTGTGTTTCTAGGGCTTCTATGTTCCATATTTCTCTTTTTTCTTATTGTTCCAGTTTCTGTATTGATAATCGCGTTCTTAACTTCGCGAATTAACAATCCTATTGGAGTGTCTTGCGTCAATGAGGACATTTAATTTCCTATTAATTTCCCACAATTCCTGGATGTCCTGAAATCTAGCATATGAAATCCAACAGTTACTATTAGAATTTGGTTTTTCAATTTTTTCTTCTAGCTCTGTTACCATTGTTTTCAGATCTCCCCTTTCCGCAAGTATGATTATATTATCTGCATACTTCAGATTCTTCATCTTTATTTACACCATTTATATTTATTCCCTAATCACCCAGTTCAGTTTTGAAAATCTGTTCCATCCCTAGTTAAACAATTGTGATGATAGTGCTTCCTTGTCACATACTTCTTCTTATGAATGGTTTGGTTTTCTCGTGAATTGTATTTGGAAAGCTGCTTTGTCATAGACATAGTTGATGAACGTTTTATATCTGTAGTATATGCGTGCATTAACTAACTCTTCAATGATTGCCCAGTGTTCGATGGTGTCAAATGCTTTTTCGTAGCCGACAAAAGGTCTATGTAGCAATATGTCAATTTTGACTTTTAGAAAGTGATCACAGCTGTTGTATTCCTTTCCGAATGCGGCCTGCTCTACTAGTTGGTAGAATTCTATGTTTATTTTTTAGTAGTAGTCTAGTAATCTCCCTTTGTATATAAAATTATTATTATTGCTTTGCCATGTGTTCGGAATAGTTTTATCTATTACAGATTTATTAAATCTCACTTTTAATTTGTATATTACTTCTTGTACAGCTTATTTGATCATGTGTATGGTTCTCTCCATCCTCACTTGACGCTTTACCTTGTTTCATTTCTCATTTGTTTTGACTTCGCTTGGTTTAATCACTTTTGGATCATAATTTCTTATAGTAATGTTCTATTATTGCTAGTAATTCCTCCTTATTTCTGCTCTTTACCTGTTTCATCTATTCATTTCATATTTTTATTTTGTTCTCTGGCCTCTTCCAGTTTTTGTTGATACAAATTTTCGTCTTCCCTTTCTGTATAATAAACTTCTTTTTTTGTAGTTACTTTCTTTTCTAGTATCTTCTAGGACATATCATTTATGTCTGTATTGCTTATATACTTTGAAAATTCTAGGAGTCGTTATTTACATTCATTTTATTTTTGGGAATATGCTACTACCATTATAAGTCAGGGATGCTTCCATTTAATATACTTTCAAAATTCTATCTCCATCTGCTTGTCACTGCTACCATCCCCTCAACAGATTACCGTCTTTGTCCTAAGGAAATATATTTTTGCTGGTAATGAATGCTATCCTTTTTCGCTTCTTGATAGAAATTCGCAAAATCTTTGTTATTCAAATTGTCTTCAATTCTTTTGATAACTTCTCGGAAAAAATCTTCTTTTCTTTCTACTGCTACTTTCTCCTTTAGTTCCCGTAATTCATCTTTATTGTAACTAGTGTTTTGACCCACCAAGTTGTGAGCTTCATTTTTCAGTTTTGTGTAATATTCACACTTTTTGTTGAACCACACTTTCTGCTTTTGGCTTCTTTCTAAACTTTCTAGTATTTCTGCTGATGTTTTGATTGCTCTGTTCATATATTATCTAAGTTTCCCTTATGCTGTATTCTTTCAAAACTGTCTTATAATTTTTTAGTACTTTTCTATGGTTTTAGGTACTGTCATTTAGCTTTTTTACCTTGTCATATTTGATATAGTTTCTTCTAATATTATTAATTCTTCTATTAATTTTAAGCGTCACTCGACGCTGAGGAGTATTCACATTGAGACCTCAGTGTCGTTTGACGGTTCTTGTATTTATACAGAACATGATACTGGTACGTCACGAGTGAGGGGAGTAGGCAGATTGAAACCCCGAACTTGAACGGAACCGCATCCATCTTGAAAATGGCTTCAAAATGGGGAGCCGAAACGTCTAGTATTAAATTCTCAACGCGGTTCTTCCCGAGAACCTAGTGATTTTTATTCATCTGACCGCGGAAATCTATCCGACTACATTTACTTTCTGCTTTTGACATAACATCAAATCGGAAACTCTTGGTCACTTTCTATTAAAATATGAGAATGGTTCAAGTCAAAAACTTTGTACCAGCATGTAGTACTACCCAGCTAGTTGATGGGTACCATATGTTTTTTGAGTAGTCTCAAAAAGTATTTGCCACCTACTATCTATATGCTATACCTCACAGTCATGCTATATATGATTGTTTTGTCTATTCAGTTTAGACAAATCACCCCTGTGATTTCTTTATAGGAGGTATTGTCTAAGATTCCCCCTATATTGAGAAAATGGTTGTGTTAAGTAAAAGATTTACACTTAACGGAAAGACCTTTGAATACTAACAATGGTATTTTTATTTAGACCTAAAACTTTTTACCTACCTGATATTCTTAAGCGCTGTATAAGACTGGAAAATCCTAAAACAATATATGACAGTTTAATAAAGATCAAACTCACAGTTTGTTTTTTCATCAAAATAAGGTTTGATTTTAAAATTCAGTGAAATAATATTTAAAGGCGTAGTCCAAGGATGACAATAAATTTAATATAAAAATCATAAGATCCTGAAGGTTTTTAAATGTTTTGGAGATTTGAATACTGTCCAAAAACTTTAAAGTGACTAGATCTTTCAAAATGGAAATGTTTTTAATCCAAATATCTTTTTTATGTGATAAATTTCAACAATTTTATAGTTATTTCCTAACATAATTCACAAATTGGTCAAATAGACTAGTACCCCCGTTAAGATTGGCAAAATGCTCTTATTTGTTACATTCTATATGATTCAAAAATAAGAGAGCTCAATTTTAAGCTTTTTATGCCATTTTATAGACTTCAAAACAGATCAAATGAAAGGGTTTAGAGGTTATATATAATTTGAAGTAACTGAGTTCTTTAGGACATTCAAAAATTGGGCGAAACTACTTTAAACCCCCAAAAAACCATGTTTTTTAAGCCATGTTAATCATATTATTTGAGATCAATACAACCTGATTCAATACGACTCCAACTCATATTTAAAAATTTATGAAAAATAATATGCATAAAACCAGGTTTTCAAGCAATTTACTGGATTTGTCCAACTTTTTACCTTTCTACATCACTAAGTGGCATGTTTTCAAAAATTTTATAAAATAACAAGAAACAATGTATTTGCTGTATTCAGAGAAGCTAAAAATTTCTTGAAAGATGCGAAAAACTTGGTTTTTCAGTGTTTTGTCTACTGACACAAATGCAAATTTTACAAATAACCCCACCAAAACTCACAAACCACCACAAAAACCTTTAAAAATGCTGAAAACATGGGTTTTGGGGGGTTTAAAGGAATTTTGTCAAATTCTGAATGTCCTTCTTTCCATTTTGAGGAAAGGTAAAAAAAAATGCAAAAGGGATAAAAAATGGTATTTTCAAACTCACAACAGATTTTAGGACAAAGGTATAATATATCCCTTAGGCGATTTCTATCATTATCCAGTAACTTATTTATTTTGATAAACATTTGGCACTAGACTATATGTAGACAATATGCATTATCAACTAAGACTTTCGCACAAAAAGTGATATGCGATTAAAAACGATAAAAACAATTGTTGAGGAAGGGTCAATCATGAAGAGATAGTGTCTTTTTCGAGTTTTGACTATTTAAGAAAAAAAAATGACAAGTGGTATAACTAAATTGAAGGGTGCAATCAAAAATATGCGGAAATTCGATCATTTTTAGCTACTAGATTTTAAGGTTATGATCCAATAAAGTGGGAAAATATTAGAAAATCACGATTTTTTCGGAATTTGAGAATTTGTAGAATTTGAAAAGCATACATCTAACTATCTGATTATGAGGTAAGGTAAAAAAAAGTGTGAAAAGGATAAAAAATGATAGAGAAAAAAATTTTATCTTTATGAAAGAGTTAAATGGGGACTTTTACAATGAACTTTGATAATGTGGAAGAAACAATTTTTTAATGGCTTTGGAATGAAACAATGTTGAAAATGTTGAATTACCCTGAGTTTTGAGATTATGTGCAAATAAATTAGTAAAAAAACGGTTTTTTGATTTTTTGATGCTTTAGGTTCAGAAATTGAAAATTCTGCCTTGGCCATTTAAAAGGAAAAAAAAGACATAAAAAATTACTAAAAATTAGCCAAAAATTATTAACATAACCTAAAAAATTATTGAAAATTTCAATGATTTTTCCTGAGCTCAATTTTCAATCTAAAAATCTGAAAAAAATCAGGCTATTTTGTATTCGAAAGATACATCTTCAGGAATTTTTTCAGATTTTTTAAAGTAAAATTGCATGCAGACAAAAATAAAGTCGAAAAAACTTCTTTTTTAGATTTAAGGGCTTCCATGGGCTCTGGGAAGCTAAAAATTTGTATGAAGTCATGTTTTTGAATGTTTTATTGAAATAAGTCACTGTGCTGATCGGTGCGGGGGCACTTTTGACCATTTTATACAGCTACAGCCTGTTTGTTTTTTAGTCATACTTACAAACTTAAATACCATAAAAAACAATTCTGGGGAAATGATCTTACTGGATTTGATTATGATGTCATCTCTAAATAACTATACAAACCCTATTTTGTGATTCAAATGATGTATTAAACATCTTATAGTTTCTTGTTTTTAAAATATATTACCAGATTTTGAATTTGAAACTTCTACTCCGCATGCTGAAGGGTGATGAATTGTTTTTCCTACTTCTGAACCTAGTAGCTTGACAAGTTCCACTAAAACAAAATGACACATTAGGTATTTGAAACTCATATTAGTGGTTTCAACTTAAAATATTAGGTACAAGAAATGTTTTCTATGCTATTTCATCTGTATGTCAGATGTCCAGTGAATAACAAATAATATTCCAAAGCACTACTAAATAATACATAATGTAATTTACTTAGGTGGAATGACAAAAAAGTACAAAATTGGAAATTAATATAATAGAGGAAGTCTGAATGACCCATTTGCTTGGATCTTATGTCCTTCCAAAATATTGAAAGTAATCTAAAACTACTTGTACTGAGAACTTCAGAGCAAAAGATATTTTTTGTGTTAATGATTCATTGGAATTTTTAAATATTGGTATTATTTTAACTATACATTTTAGAGCTTGTACCATTTTTTGCTTAATTACTGGGAGGTCTTGATAGAAAGACATTGAGCTTTAATGAACTAATGACTCATTTGAATTTTGATTTTTATTGTTAATTAGCAAAATGAAACATAAATGCCAATACCTGGTACATATCCAATTCCATTAGTTCTTCTACTATAGGCAAATAACCATCCAGGTCTTCTAGATTGGTTAGGTTCAAATGGGCTTTGAATAGAAACTTCAAATACATCTCCTCTTTGGAACTCCAATTCGTCTTCATTAGAAGATGCAAAAGATTTTATTGCTTGGTATAATTCATAGTCCCCCATTTCAATAAAAAATTACCCTATTGCATCCTCCTATATAACTAGGAAAACTTAGGGAACCGCAAATTTTCTTAGCCCTAGAATACTATGAAAAGAGAAATTAAGTAAATAATACTGCATCTTGAATTGTATTAACTAGTGCATTAAGCAATCTTATCATTTATTCATACAAATTTGACTGGAAGAATTAAAAAAGATTGTAGACTATTTAAGAGACAATTAGGTATATTTTAGGATAGTAAATTATGTTACAACTTATATAGACCTTAGTAGAAAAGTAAATTACAAATGACTGTGAACATTTTGTTACATTTGCCCTAAATATGACATGTATACAATTATCTAATGTAAACCATAAGAAAATTTTTTTCGTAGCTTGTTAAGGTTTTATATTTCTCATACCTGAAATAATAAATGATGTTTGATAACAAATATTAGTTTTTTTGAAATATGTGTCAGTAGTAGATATGTTCTTCTAAAATCAGTAGTATTCTAGGGTTAAGAAGCTTTTAGTGATCTTCGTGTAACTGCAATTTAACTAACAGCATACTTCTAATTCCAATCTTTTAAAAATAATCATCCCTTAAGCAAAAATAACAACTTTCAATGCAAGGTTCATTTTTTTTCTGGTAGTGATGACATCAGGATTGTTTGTTATACTGACTGTGATGTATGAAAGTATTATTATGTAGAATATCTCTAAAAGAAAATGTAGTGAAATATCATCTTTTTACTTCATTTTTTGCTTTCCTATTAAAGATTAACACAAACAAAACATCACAAAAAATGGCGTCAATGTCAAAATTTATCAAAAAATTATTTAATGTCAAACCATTACCAACATTGTATATAAAGTTAAATAGTATATTTTGACTCAAAAGTAACCAAGTAAAGGTCAAAAACAACTTTTTTTAATCTCAAATATACTCAAATATTATTTAAATCATTTATTAATGTGAATTAAATAATTGTAAAATTTTAAACTCCAAATGCGAATGTCAGTTGGTCACTATGTATCGGGTAGTACAAGAATCGGTTTTAGAATTTAAAAAATTCTAATTCCAAAAACAATTTTTTAATGGGATTACTTTCTTTTTACCGCTCAATTAAGCTATACTATGATGACATGCTTTCAGAAGTATGGATACTAAATAGGTACTTGTTTTAAATTTATTGTTAAATTGAATTCCGTCCTTTTATGATACTTTCATACTTTTTTCAAATCGATTTTTAGATTTCGAATAACTGTCATCGGTTAAAATGGAAGATGTTTTGATTTAGATTACTAACATATGATTTTAGGAAGTGTACAAGGTAATAATATCTTTATTAATTTATTGTTAATTTAATTATATTAACAACGAAAAGAATACATTAAAGGAACAAGATATATGAGGAGAAATTAATTAAAATAACATTTTTGAGCGACATACCGATCTTCATCAATAAACAAAAAGCGCAAATAAACATATTACAAAACTGAAAGTAATTCAGAGGAAGTGGAGGACAATCATTAAAACCTAAAATATTTCCATAACATATTAGAACAAAGAGGACATTATTGAAATATGTAAGAGTTCTAGCTAGTATATTCAAACTAAAGTATTATTCCCTAAAATAAATAGGTACACTAATAACTATTGCACTACATTAACTACTACACTCATAACTACTAAACTTAATCTGGCACAAATATTATAGGATTTCTTTCTCTGAGATGGATTAGAGGAATAACTGAATAATTATGACTGGCCGAAAGATAAATAAGCTCTTATGATAAATACAGTGGAAAAAAAGTTAAAGCAGCACATAAATTGAATAGGGAAGAACATACTGATGCTCATTAGTATAGTTATTTTATCCTCAACAAGACTTAAATTGATTTTGGTTATTATAAATACATATGACATCTATTTTAGGTAATGCTGAGATAAAGAAGATACAAACTTTAAAGCCACATGGCTTGCTTTTGGTATAATCAAAGAGAAACAACAATAAACATTTTTTCTACCAAAGAAGTAAACAATGTTACTTTTTACAATATAACAGTCACTGTGGGGGACTTTCATTGGACAGTCGAACATCGTTATAGTGAATTTTATGATCTGCATAATCAACTAGTAATAGATCATGGGGTGTCGAAAGAGATTTTACCTTGTAAGAAAGTTATTAGAAATAAATGCCCCACTTTTATTGAGGCTAGAAGAAAAGGGCTAGAGGAATATTTACAGAAAATTCTTATATTTTTAAAAAGGACCATGCCTAAAATATTTGTAGACTTTCTAGAATTTAATTTATATGATATATTCTTTTTACTGCAAGATTTGTCAACTAAATTGTTTAAAAATTCTGACACAATACTCACAAAGCCAAGTGTTATGACTACACTTGAGGTAAGTATTATATAAATATTACATAATAATTTGAATGTATAACCTCGGAATATCATTTGACACATTTTCTCTCATGTTTTGAGAGAACCATGGATATTATTTTAGTAGTATTATTTTTTTAGAACCTGATTTTTTCACTTCTTCAATTGTGTTGTTGTTACAAATTAGTGATGGGAAGACCTGGTTCATTTCAGTGACCCGGGTCTTCCAGGTCATTCATTAAAATGACCCGTTCATAAAGATCAGGTCAAATAAACCACTAATTAAATTTGTTGTGTAAAGATCAAGTGTGTAGAGTTTAATATTGGCATGTTTATGAATCTTTCTGAGAGTGTATGAATGAATGATAATGCAGGACCTGTTCATAGAGATTCCTTCATTAGAATGATATAATTATATTGTTTACATTTAGAATTCGATATTGTTACTATAAATTAAAGAATGAAATATAGTTTAAGGCTGACATTAAGATTTGTATTTCTCAAATTATCTTCAGAAATAATTAAAATATAAAAAAAATACTTGAAAAAGTTAAGTAAAATTACAAATTCCATATTGTTATGTTCATGAATGAATGAAAATGCAACAATTAATATGGATTTTATTATTACAACTTTATAAACAGAACATAATACGGGACTATTGACTTGACAATTTGAATGTATATAATTCATAGGGATGATTAATTGGGTTATTCGAACAGTAGGGTCACAGAATTTGATTGTATCAATCACGGGTCTTCGAAAAGATTAGATCTTTGTGAACAGTTCATTCATGACCTTCTCATCACTATTACAAATATTGGACATTTATAAGGTTGCATATTAATTTAATTCCTTTTAGCCTCATGCTTTAAGTCAATTCTTAAAGAAACCATTATTGGATCAGACTGAAACAAGATTTGATATAAGTCCTGTTGTGGATACATTTTCTCAGCTACAGAATATTAAAATTTGTGGAGATTCTAAACCTTTTAAACAGAGTAATATTGTGTTGAATAAATTAATGTTTGATCTTTCATCATTCAAGGTTAGTATTTAGATTCTTTAATTTTTCACATATTTGGTTAAACAAACGAAAGAAAAGACTGATATATTATCACTGAAACTAGCTTACTATTGGATGGAGGTAATATAGGAAAGAAGCTAATGAGAAAAACACTTGTGGAGTGCCTACAGAAGTGACTACTTCTTACAGTGTGTTATTACTACAAATGTGTTTTAATAAATTTTATGTCTACTTAATATTGAATTGGTAATATTTTTTATAATAACACCCCACAAGTTCTTTAATCTTTAAAAATCTTAATTTTTTCTTTAAAAATGTTTTTTTTTTTATTTTATTTTATCTTATTTTACATTATTTTATTTTATTTTATTTTTGTTGATTTACTTTAGTTTAGATATTTAAACATATCGGCAGATGAACTCAACGCCATGACGAATGCTTTGTATAATAGATTTGGTTTCTGTTTGTTACAATTTGGTGGTTTGTTTGAAAATTTAATTACCTAAGAATTTGGTGTAGAATTTCTAATTGTTGAAGTTATTTTTAATTTAATCAGTAGTGTTGGAATTATTTTTTATTTGATTTTATTTTTATAGAACAAATTTTATACGAATTTTATCTTTTTTTGTTTCATTTTTATAGAACCAATTCTTATTTTCACACTTACTACCTCCAAAAAATCTAAACGAAAATATAGTTTCAAAGAAATTCGTCCAAATTTGATTATCTTAGAACGTTGTTAAAATGCTAAAAAGACAACAGATCAAATAAAACCAATAAGTTTGGCAACATTGAACTTATCTTCTTTTCTTAGTTCCACTAATGCTATTTCGACGATATAAACGGACCCTCTCTCTCCCTCTAATATACCTCTCTCTTTTTAAATAGGTGTTTCTCACTCCATCTCACGTAAGGTACATACCGACCATAAACTTTTACCTACACTGTATATACTTGAGTGCAAAAGTGAGTTATAAGTGTATATGTATGTGTGTTATATATATTACTCTATACCGCAAGGTTGTTTGGAAGTACCAAAACAAAGTGTCCCTAGTTCCGGGCACTGGGCAGGCCTTAAATGGCCAAGGGGTGCGAAGAATCTCCCAGTTTCAACTTGATAAGTTTTCAAAAGTGGACTTGGCACTAGAGAAGCGATCTTTAGTATGCAAACATTAATACAGAATTGTTTAGATCAAAGAAATGATGTTTTTGTCTGTTTCATCGATTATGGAAAAGCATTCGATAATGTAAAACACGAATTGATGATAAAATAACTACAAGAGCTGGGATTGGACGCCAAGTATATAAGAATTATCGCCAATCTGTATTGGAACCAGACAGCAACAGTACGTCTTCAAAATTTCAACGAAACAGAAGATTTCTCCATTAAAAAAGGAGTAAGGCAAGGTTGTATACTGTATCCAATGCTGTTCAATTTATACGTAGAAAAAGCCTTCGCAGAAGCAGTGGCAGACTCTAATAAGGGTATTAAAGTTAACGGCATATTTATTAATAATATCAGGTATGCCGATGATACAGTCATAGTGGCAGATAACATCGAAGATCTTCAATGCCTTTTAAATGATCTAACTCTTGCAAGTGAAGCTCGGGGTTTGAAAATAAATATCAAGAAGACAAAAACAATTATTATAAGTAGAAATGATTACCCCAACGCAAAGATATATGTCTCTGGAGAAGAAATCGAACAGATCAGGTAATTTAAAAACTTGGGTGTTTGCTGAACGAGGGTTGGGACCCCGAGAATGAAATAAAGAGCAGAGTTGAACAAGCCCTAAATGCTTTTTTGAGGCTTCGTAAGTTTCTGACTGATCGCAAATTGGACTTCAACCTCCGATACAAGATGCTTAAGTGTTACGTGTAGCCTGTTCTCTTGTACGGAATGGAAGCATGGACGTTAAAGGCCAGTTTCATTAACAAACTTGAAGTGTTTGAAATGTGGTACCTGCTTCGAATACTTAGAATATCATGGACGGACAGGGTCAGAAATGCGGAAGTACTCATAAGAGCGGGCTTCTGATGAAAAGCTGATGAAAAGATACACTTTTCGTCAACTGATACTCGAAGGGAAGATAGAGGGTAGGAGAGGTCTGGGACGTAAAAAAATGTCATGGCTGCGCAATATTCGACAATGGACAGGAATCCACAGCTATGAAACGCTTCGCAATGCTGCTAAAAACAGAGTTATTTAATCCTGACTATTTAACATCTCACCTGACAAGACGATGTACGGTGGACGCTTACGCCGAAATGCACTGCACCTTAAGAAGAAGAAGAAGCAAGGTTGCTGCAAGCGTCTTGGTAAATAGCATCACAGTAAATATTATTTCGTTCCTATGCAAAAGCATACAGGCATACCTGCGATAAAAAGTATTCACTTGAAAAAATAGTAAATTCACAGTCTTTTCAAGTTTGCCTCATATTCTCTTAAATTCTCTCATCATTCTAACTTACTATTCCAAAATTATAAGCTTGATGCTAGTATTTTGTATTTCTTAAAGAAATCTTAATTTTAGGTTGTAATAATCTTAACCCTAGATGATGTTTGCTTTGAAAGTATCACTTCATTGGGAAATGTGAGAGAAACTGTAAAGAAGCTTCAAGTTAACAATACAAAAATAACTTCAATTTCTCAGGTTTTACAGTGCGACATCATTCACAAGGACAATATTGAAGGAAGTCAGGTAATAACCTAAACTCCGATTTTTCTGTATTCTTTTAAAAAATTTTTCACGTATACATTTTGAAACAAGTTCCTAATTGTAAATACAAATTATTATTTTTTAGAAATGGAGTGCTTTGGAAGAACTAAATTTGAATAAAAACAATATAACAGAAATAGACTCCACCATCAGATTAGCCCAAAAGTTAGAGATATTAAATTTAAACGATAATAAAATCTCCACTATCAACAACCTTTCTCATTTACCAAATTTATCATGTTTAAGTTTATCCAATAACCTAATAACATTATGCACAGATTTGCACACAAAAGTAGGTAATCTTAGAGTGTTAAACCTGTCACAAAATAATATTTACACCTGTCAGGGATTTAGCAAACTTTATTCTTTAGAAACGCTCGATTTAAGTAGCAATAAGATAGTTAATATAGAAGACGTTCGATTTCTCGGAGATTTGCCGTGTTTAGAAAATTTGATATTAACTGGAAATAATGTTGCTACAACTATTGATTATAGGGCTAAGGTTTTAGAATATTTCGGAGATCGTGCTAAGCATATATGTTTGGACAATGAGAAGCCGATTCAGGCTGAACTAGACAAGGTTTCTATATTAAGAGCTCTAAGAATTGTTAAGGAGGGAAAGACTCCAGATTTAAAAACAAATTTTACTTTTGAATTATATTAAAGATATATATTTAAATTTGTTGATGAATTATACAATGTATGTTGGTGATATATCGTCACTGTCAGAGCAACATGCCTTAACGTCATTTTATAAGTTTTTCAGAGAGCGAAATAACTCATTATCCCTTAATAATTCCAATGAAACCTTACTTACCAGATGAAATCTTGTTTACTTTGTTTCTAAAATTTCATTTTTAGGGAAAATTGTTAAAAACTTGTGATATTAGAAAACCTCGACAATAAGGTTTGTTGTCTGCCAAGAGTATTGACAATACGAGCTGGTACTCATTCTATTAACTCAACGTAATTTTTTACCTGTCTAGTTTAATAAACAGTTAAATCCCAAAGTAATTTTATATACTTAACTATCCTTAAAGTACACCATGGACCCCATTTAAAACAGTTAACACTTAAGTTTGATAATTTATTTTAAAAAAATTGGTACGAAAAGAAAACAAGGAAAATACAGTCTTGAGAAGCTTAAATTTAATGCTTCTAATTACACCTAGCTTCTCAGATCTTATTTTCTTCTGCTGCTTTTTTCTTTTTGTATCCCTTTGACTGATATTATCGTGTGAAAGTGAATCGTAGAAGCTATGAAAATCTTTACTCATCATGGGCTTTAGTGATTAAAGATCTCTCCATATTCAGAGGCTTTTTGAAGAGCTTGGGAAAAAAACAGACAGGATCTTGCTTTTGGAGTCATACGGTCAATGAAGCAAATTCACCCGTGTATTTTAGTTTGTAATAAATTTTTCCTTCAGACCTGTATTGGAGAATTCTTAAATCCCTAACAGTAGGATCTCCAGGTTTCTTTCCCGGTCGGATGGAAGGATATCTTATTGATGTATTGAAATCCTCGAAGAATTCGAAATCCACCTGTTGAGCTCTGTAAGGATCAACTTGCTGAGTTTTCTTTCGAGCTACTTTTGATAATACCACAAATTGACCAGGTAGAAGAACATCTAAGTCTTCAAAAGTAGCCTCGATATGGCTATGTACCGAGTCGCCTGCTGTGTATGTGTGGCCAACTTCTAACTATTTATGAGTGATGGTCACTCCTGAAGTCATGCTCAAATGCAAGAGCGCATTTGAAAGAACTGAGTTTCTATTTTGATAGTTACACCCGTCCGAGTCTATCACCACTGGTTTAAGAGAGATTTTAAAAGTTGTGACGCATAATTCACTAAAAAAGAAGCAAGGTTGAAGTACTAAGTTACTGTTGGTTTCGTCAAACCAATACGCCATAACATCGTGGGTTGCCAAGTTGTATACTGTATAATGGTGAACAGTTAATTTTAACTTGTAATATGCTGCGCTGGCCCTAATAAATAGTATGGTTTGGACTTTCATAAGGTCACAGCAAATTGTGTGACATTTTCCATTCATGGCTTTCTTTTTGTCTGCAGTTTTCTCATTTTGAGCTTCTTCTTTTCGAGCTCTGTGCTTTAAATATTCTTCTTCTGTGATATTCTTACAATTATAAGCATAGAACTTATCACACATGTCTTTTCGTGGAATATAAATGGCAATATTCATGTTTTTTAGAGTATTACTAAACTGAGCTCTGCTTACATGTGCAACATTGTCCTCTGTGCATTGTTTAACATAAGTCTCATGAAGATGAGTTTTAGACCTAATATGTGTCTGTAAATATTGCTTTTTAGAATTTTTGCGGCAATAATGTGAAGGAAGTTTTGGTAGTTTGGATAAAAAGTTTTCCAAATATAACTGCCTATTACGCCTAGCGCGCCTTGATTGACCAGAATCGGGCAGCACTTACTTGCGAATTACTTACGTCATTTATTTGCAAGTTATTTTCAACGTCATTAGACATATCTTCAAATGGCTCTGGCTCATACCTGTCACTATGTCTACTCTCATGCTTTTTACTGAGCCAATGACGCACTTCATCTTCAGTAATCCTGAATGTAGATATAAACATTTTTTAAAACATAAAGTAAAAAAGGGATACCTTTCTTCTAGAGTTTGGTCCTCCCCTGATACGTTTCGGGTTTTTCTTTTCAACTAAAGTACGAACGTACATTTTTTTTACCGTCCCAAGACCAAGACCAAAATAATTCGAAAAGTTCTTTTCTCTTCTCATCAGATATAGAGTAACACTTCCTGGTTAATTTATATCTTCCACAACCCTGAAGATTACAACGAACTCTCATTTGCCTTGCTCCACGCTTGACATCTTGGACAATTTTGTTTGTAGACTTTTTGTCTAACCTACGGAATCCGATATATTCTTTTCCTTTTTCTCGGTTATTGCGAGCTGTTAAACGTTTTTTGGTTGAAGAGACATATTCAGACTTCTTTTGTTCAGTATTGTTCTCTGCATTATCTATATTATTAATATTAGGTGATGTTTGTATAATATTTGATTAAAATTTGATAAAATAAATGAAATTAAGACCATCACAAACAGAAAATATATCAAAATTAATTGATTTTTTATGGAAATGTAAGAAATTTAATAAATTAATCTTAAAATAAACTTTGTACTTACCAAAATTCTAAAATCTCATAACTCATATTCGTTAAAAATGACGTTAGGGTATGTTGCTCTGACGATATATTATATATATTCCTTCAACTGATGTATATTCAGAAGTTTACAAAAATACTTTCTATTGTTAATGCACTTTCAGGCCTATGTACAAGTACCTAACCTACACTGTGAATATAGATAGGTCTGCAAAAATCCATTTATTTTTATATATAAATATATGTAGATTTTTCTGTTGGATGTATCAATTAGTACCTGACAGTATAAAACTATAGTGCTGCAAATTTTGTGTATAGTGAGACATTACAATCTCTACACAAACATTGTAAGATATGTTTTGTTCCTAAGGAATGCAACTCATCCATCTCTAATTTTATTTTATATATTGCTGTCAGTGATCTAACTATACTCCATCGTGTCCTTCAATCTTTTACTCATGTTTTTTACTCATTTTACTCTTAATATTAATATCAAATTTTCACAATAAAATCAATAAGAATCCTATAAGTAATTACATGAAAAATATCCATTGTTAAAATGTTGTTAAATTGTGGAAATTTCAATGTCATTATTTTAAATAATTATTTTTTTGCATATTTCTCGAGTAACATTGTTTAATGAATATTGAATATACCTAATATAAAATAGATGGGACATATGAATTTATCAGATTATATTTGCATTAATTGTTTTGTTATATTTCTCTTTTATATAATTTATTTTTATATATTTTATATTTTGTTAATTGTTATGTTTGAAGTTTATATTTGTAAATTGTAAATCGCTGTAATATTACAGCTCACCAATTGTAGCATGGCCGTTGTGAGAAATCGTATCTGCGCTAACGCGCAACTTGGGAGATAAGTTATCACCGGTTACAATTGGTGATGTGTAGGTGGTAAGTAATTTATTTTTTGAAAATATGATTCATATTTTGTCAAACATATCTCCTTTTATTTCTATATACAGCTAGAACAGCTGTATCGTTCTTCATTTTATGAAGTGTTCTGGCAAATTTCTCTTTTTTATATTGGACACCACTGCAGTAACTTCTTTGTTGTCTCTACTTAAATTTACTCGAATACTTGTCTAGTCTACTCTAGTCTTTCATCGAAATAAATACTCATTTCTTTCATTGAAAGAATTTCTGTAACTAATACTTTGCATATATTCTTAGTATTATTGTCTTTGAGACTTATTTTGTACTTTTTGAATGTGATATCAGTGTTATCTCTTTAAATATTGTTGGGATTAATCTACTTATGCATTAAAACCATCTCCAATTATTACTTTTTGTTGACAATTAGTTTATAAAGAATTTATCCTAATTGCTCATAGAAAGTCTTTATTCCTTTGTCAAGAATTCACTTGTCTGTCAAGTAAAAAATTCCACATCCAACTGTTCTTGCAATATTGACCTGTTTATATTCCATTTATGCACTAATTTTAATGTTTTAAGTAATATTCAATATTCATTGTAAAGAGAACACAAAATTGTTTTTAACTGTTTTATAATATTTATATCATTGATTAAAAACTACTAGTATACCGTGTAGTTTTTAATCAATGGTTATATGTATTTGCATTGTATTTAAAAAATAATTTATCAATTGTATGTAATATAATAAATTTTACACAAATGAAGTTACAGTTTTATTTCCCCACCAAGAAATCTGTTATAGCTGAGAAAACTTAGTAACAAATCCACGTGGCTTAGAAAGTACTGACCTTCACATATCACATGTCAAAATTTGAACTCAATTGGATCATTGGATTACAATCTGACTTTAGTATGTGACATACAGTAAAGAAATAATGCCAAAAGAATGGAGTGGCTGTATTATCGTGCCAATACATAAAAAATGCAGAAAGGATACAAGGTGACAACTACAGGGGAATCTCACTAGTCGGTACTACATATAAGATATTAGCTTCAGTTGTACTAAAACGATTACTGCCATATACAGAGGAAATTATTGGCGATTTACCAATGCGGCTTTAGGCCTGGAAGATCAACAATCGACCAAATATTTACTATCAGACAAATGCTAGAAAAGTATTGGGAATATAATAAAGAAGTACACCAGATCTTCATAGATTTCAAACAAGCATATGATTCCATAGATCGCTTAAAACTGTGGAGTGCAATGATGGAGTTAGGCGTACCAAAGAAGCTGACCATGATTGCGCGAATGTGTGTCAACAATTCCTTTGCACAAATTAGAATAGGAGGCAAAACTTCAAAGGCTTTCGGCATAAGCACCGGGCTCAGACAGGGAGACCCGCTGTCCCCATTACTATTTAACCTAGCATTGAATACGCAATGCGAAAAATCTATACCAGAGTCAAACCAGACATAACTGTCAGAGGAGCAAAGATTATTCTCGCATTTGCAGATGATGTAGATGCAGTAGCACAGACAACACTGGAAGTTAAGGATATTAGTATCGAAACACGTGGTGTTCGTGTGTATTAAGGTATAAAAA